CACTCTGTATTGTCCCCCGTCATGTCATATTAGCAGTGTTCCTCTCAGTACTTCTTCCTGATTGGAGACTCAGGGTAGATTTAGACAGTGGGGAGGCCCAGGCACAATAAATGCACATAATGAGCATGTTAACGTTCTGCGATCAACTGGACATTTTGAAGTTGCTGCCAAGTGTGTGCCTTCAGATTTCATGGCCAATGTACCGAACCATTAAAGGATGGCCCAAGTGAGGTCTGACTGGATTACGTACTTGTGTTTTCAACGGGCCAGCTTGAAAGACATGCTTCATTTTGGTGCATGCTTGTTTGTAAATGCGGAAGCTCTGAGAGCAAGGATCTGCTGAGAGACAAGGGTCCTCACGTCACATACAAATGGATGCTGGGCGTTGAAAACATCAAGTGGTCATTCTCTGATTCTTAGTCCAAAAAAGCACTACCAGAACCACTAACTTCTTGACAGCCCCCTACCTGCGAATTTGAGAGAATAAAATAACAGAATAAAAGAACAAAAGTAATTTTGCACCGGTTGGGAAGGGCTGAAAACCTCACAGAGCCCATCCATCACATAGTTGAGGGCATCAGCTCTGAAACCAGCCTGTCTTGGCTTGTGGCTTGAAGTAAACCATGCCTCAGAGTCTCACAGATAAAATGGGTGAAAAGATGGCGCTACTGCTCACAGGGTCATGATGAGAATTAAATAACTATACAAAAAAGTTTTAGGACAGTACCTGGCGTATACCGTGTTCTAAATCATGCGAGCTGTCAGTCACAGTTCACAGCACACCAGGATTTTGAGCCAAAAAATTTATCAGAATTGGAACTCACCTCATAACTATCTTCTTTCTCTGGAAATCATGTGAACTCAGGTAACCGTATTCTCTGTTTTTCTATTTTAACTATATTCTCTAAAGAGTAGCTTGAAGGAAGCTGTTGGTTAACTTATAGGATCGTTAGATGAGGTGACTCGCATGATTTAAAAGATAAAGATGCTGTTTAAAAATATTTCAGACTGGAGGACACCAGAAAGAAGTAGTTAATTCATGCCTCCACCTGCTTATCCTGGACCTCTCAGATTCAATCATTTACAGAGAAATTTACCGAGAAAGCAGTGTTTTGATTACAAGGTCAGGGTAGGTAGGTAGCAGACCAGCAAAAGGCTTTTTCTTTTGGTCCGTTATCACACACTTGGTTTACAGCATTTGTTAAGTTTCCATAAGGACAGCCGTCCTGCAGTTTAATCCCTGCCTCATGTCAAAATATTGTGAATGAGTCTATTCCACAGTTGCTGATTTGATAGTGAAGGCACGCAGGAAGAAGATTTATAAAAAAAAATTTCCCTTGGGATTGGCAGTGGTTGATTTCTACATATCAGTAGGGATATTGGGTACTCATGTAATAAGAATAAGTCCACATTCCTACATCTGTAGTGCTTTCTGCACGTTCTTGTCATCTGTGGACACTAAGTGGTGATGAAAAGAAAAGCTTTGATATCGCCTCTTCAGGGAGGGCTCTTGGACGATGTCCTACGTGTGATGTCATGTACATGTCACCGTGGATGATGGCGCTACCTGACAGAGGGGGTGTCTTCCTTCAAGGCTGGCCCCATCTTCTCTTTCTCTGAAAGGCTCACAACCTCCAGCCTGGTAAAGAATTCAGGTTTCTTGAATCTGAGCATTAGTCATCACAATAGTCTGCATGACAATTTGCCGAGGACGTAATTCTATTATTACAAATCTTATTTACAAAACTCTGGCTCTGAGATGATATTCTATGTCTGTAGCTTTATTCCAAGAGGCCCTTATGAATGCAGCAGGCTCAGACCTTTCTGGGGAGCAGAGCTGCCCATGATCTATAGTTTTATCATTCCCCTTGTGAGCTATGTGAATTTTATAGAGTATGGATTTTAGAGCAGCTCTTTTTGCTACTAACTTTTCAATTTAAAACTCTGAAACTGTGGTGCCATTTGTTTCTAAACGAGGATGTTCATAAACTCATGCATCACAATTCACTCCCCGTTTAAGGTCTGAAATGACCAGCAGTGGCTGCCTGGAAACAGGAGGGCAAACGTGGCTTTTCAGGTGCATTTGCATACATCAGGGCTCTGACTTTTCTTATCCTGCACATGTGAAAAAACATGTGTCTTGGCTCCCTGGGACTCTTTTACCCAAATGAGTATTTTCACTTCTTACCTTCAAGTCTGCTCTTAAAGGTCAGGGAGATACCAGTAGACAAATACCAGGAGGGTGGTCATCTCAATGACCCACCTCATGTGTGTTTTATCCAACTAAGCTTTTCCCTTGGGTCCCATGACTGTTGGGTTATAAAACCCTCGTAACAGTTAGAAATCAGTCTTGTGAGTTTTAATATTGAGCCAAGCTTTGCTGCTTGCTCTCTGCCCACTTCCCTGGAGAGATGACCACATGCCAGACGCTGACCATCCAACTTTCCGCCAACCGGAAGCCTGCATGAGCATTGCTGAGAAGCCTCAGCCTGGAGAGGCTTGGCACTGCGACATCCTGAAATACCTCTGAGTCATCAGTGTAAAACCACACTGACTTCAGTCTGGTCTTGGAAAGAATTTCATTTTCTTTTATTTTAAGTTTGTAGCAGAACTGTAAGTACAGTAACTTTCCATTAATGCTCCAGTAACTTTCCATTAACGCTCAGCCATCCTGGCTAACAGAAATTTTTTAGATGACCTGAAGTCTGAGGTTGAGTTCCTCAGAAGCAAGATGAATGGGGAAGGGAGGCTTTCCAGTCCGGTAGGGGCCCTGGAGTGGGAGACGGACCTCAGAGCTATCCCACCGCCAGGCAAGGAAGCTGGGTGTCCACCCTCCGCACCTGACAGTCCCAGTTAATAGCCCTGGGGGCGGAGGAGAGGCTTGGAAATCCAATCTCTGGGCACTGTTGGCTTTTTGATTTGGGGGCAAAGTGGAGTCCTTGGAAGAAGAGCTATAAATTCTGTTGTTGAAATCCGCCCCCCAACTCCAAGGAGTAGGGGGAACTCACAGAAAAGAGAGATTCTGGGGGATCTGGGTGGAACACAAACATGCATTGCTACAATTCAAACTTCATTCCTTTTCACTCACTAAAGTCTTCATCCCGCAAAGATTTACCCAGCACCCACTGTGTTTTGGGCACTGTGTGAGGGAGACGGTGCGAATGACAGAGTGACATGTTCCCCACCTTCGTGGGGCTTCCCCGGAAAGAGATCTGGCGGGAAGAGGCAGGAAGTGGGAAAAGATGAACTGGCCAGGGAGCTGGGTGGCAGGCTGGGGCGGGGTCATGAGAGAGGAGGTGGTGGGTTCAAAGAGACCTGGGAGGGCAGCTCTGAGTCTGTCTACCCCGTGCTTGCTCTGGGTCGCACAGAAATGTGACTGGAATGAGCCCTTCTATCTGAAAAGGAAGGGGAAGCAGCACAGTATAAGGATTAAGAGCTTGCATTCTGGAGCGAGATTGCCTGGGTTCCCATTCTGAGGCTGCCAGTAACCCGCTGTACCTGCGTGCTATGGCCTCCAGTTCATAAATCCTCCGATTCGTATGTTGAAATCTTTCTTTTTTAAATTGAAGTATAGTCGGCCTACAATGTTGTGTTAGATCTTGGTGTACAGCACAGTGATTCATATTCTTTTCCACTATAGGTTATTACAAGCTGACATAGTTCCCTGTGCTGTACAGTAGGACCTTGGTGTTTATTTTTTATATAGTACTTAGAATCTGTGAATCTCAAACTCCTAATTTATCCCTCCCTCCCCCTTTCCCCTTGGGTTATCGTAAGTTTGTTTTCTATGTCTGTGAGTCTGTTTCTGTTTTGTAAATATGTTCATTTGCATCATTTTAAATTTAGATTCCACTTATAAGTGATATCCTAGGGTATTTGTCTTTGTCTGACTTACTTCATTTAGTACGATAATCTCTAGGTCCATCCATGTTGTTGCAAATGGCATTATTTCATTCTTTGTAAAAATCATAAATGTTGAAATCTTAACCCCCAAAGGTGATGGTATTAAGAGGTGGGACCTCTGGGAGGTTCTTAAGTCACTGGGGTGGAGCCCTCATGAATCGGATCAGTGCCCTTATGAAACAGCCCCTGCAGCGATCCCTGGCCCCTTCCACCACGTGAAGACACACTGACAGGGCCCCGTGAACCAGGAGGAGGGCTCTCAACTGATCTCGACCATGCGAGGGCTGTGCTGATCTTGGACTTCCCAGCCTCCGGAACTGTGAGAAAGAAATTTCAGTCTGTGCTATTTTGTGACAGCAGCCTAAGTAGACTAAAACACTTTCCGTATCTCAGTTTCTTCAGTTTTAGCAAAATGGGAATAATAATAGAGGTAACAACGTCAGAGGGGTGGTGTGAAAAATACATGAGTTGATACATGCAAAATACTGGAAGAGTTCCTGGCCTATGGTAAGCACTATGTGAATTTTGCTATAATAATTTTATTCCTTCCAGGAACTTAGGGCCATACTGTTGTCTTAGGCTCGAGTCCCCTCTGCCCCTCACTCCCTCCAGGGGAGTCACACTGGGCTTTTCGCAGATCCTCAACTACCCCAGGGGGTTCGCGCTTGCTGTTTCTATGTCTGCAACTCTCTTTCCCATTCGCATCTCTTTTCTCTCAGGTCGCCTCCTTAGAGACACCTCCCTTGACTACTTTACTTAAAGAGCTCTTCCTTTCTTTCAGAGATTCATGCCAAAGCATGTATAAGAAAATGATACAAGGTTGGAGATTCATTTTGAAATAATCGTTGGTGGGGTGCAGAGAGCGGGTGGGGACACAGAAGAGGATCTTGCACGTGTTGATCACTGTAGAAGCTGGGTGGGGGATATATACAGTTCATTACACTTTTTTTTCTACTTTTATTCACAATTTTCTATAATACATAGTTTAAAAAAAATTTCCTTTCCCTCTCCATCTAGTCTTCTCATGTATTTCACAGCACTTGTAGAAACTAATATTACATTTCTCATCTGTTTATTCTGTTCACCCTTCTCTCTAGGATGTAGATTTGGGTTCACTGCTGCAGCTCCAGCTCCTCGAATAGCACCAGGCACCCAGTAAGTCCTCTGTTAACGCTGATGGAATGAACATATGAAGGAGTGGGTTGAAGATATCAAGGCCTGACTGGGAACTTGGTGGGAGATTGACCTTTCAGTTTACAGAAAAGAGTAAAAATTTTGGAGGCAACTTCGTCTAAACTCATCTCTTTAAAAGCATGGCATTTTATATTCTCTCACAGCACGTTGGACTGACTGGCCAGAGCCTTGAACATGGGTGAGCTGATCCCAAGGGTTTGTGAATGATCCCTGGTGTGTCCATCCCTCGTGGGAGTTAGCACCAGCTCTTGGAGCCTTCCTCTCAGCCTCCCAGGGAGACCCCCGAAAGGAATCCTGGGAATATCCCAGGATGTGAAACTCAGTGATGGCAGCATCTAAGGATAAAGGCCCAGCTCTTCCCTGAACATCTGGACCAAAAGCATCCCTGGAAATCGCATGCCTGGAACCGAGTGGGGACAGGGCTGGAGGGAGGGCTGAAGCTCTAGGTTTTATTTTTTGGGAGCTGAAGGATCAGGTGGTAGTGGGTGAGGTATTTACTTTTCACCCTCGGGCTGTGGTGGAGGAGATGGAGTTGGGTTATGGAGTCTACGTATCCAGCCCAGCCTTGTGGACTAGAGCAAAGCCCCTACGAGCAGCGGCATGGGTGGGAGCAGAAGGGGCTGCTTTCCCCAGATAAGGTTGGATCTGTGTGCCCCTTGGAGGCCAGGTGACAGAGTGTGACATCGGTGAAGGAGGGGGCATGCTCTCCCTGCGTGCAGCCTCACTGTGGTGGTGGGACTTCAGGAGGTGTTGGCCATTTGGGCGTTTAGATGGTTTGTGGCTCCTGTGGATGCAGAGTCAAAGTGAGGGTACAGTGGGGAGGGTATAGCTCAAGTGGTAGAGCACATGGTTAGCATGCATGAGGTCCTGGGTTCAATCCCCAGCACCTCCTCCAAGAATGAATAAATAAATAAACCTAATTACCTCCCCCCAACACAAAAACAAAAATGAAAAACAAAATAAATGAGGTTGTACTCAGATGGCTTAAGAAGCCCCGCACGTCATTGCAGGTGGACAGAGGGGACTCCATGAGCACATGTGGATGTCCTGGAGAGGGTTCTAGAAGAGCAGTGGAGAGAGGTGGATCCTGCGGGACTCTTGATGAGATGTGCACCGAGGACACAGGGACCCCTCGAGGGAGGGGAAGGAGATACACGAGCCTGACTAGCACACTGGGATTGGGTGGCACGCTATTAGGTGGCCTTCCAAAGGATGCATTTCTTTTTTATTTTTAAATGTACTGATAAAATTGTCAAGCCCAGAGTTGAAGGGGAAAACCAGCTTTTAACTTAGCCCAATACATCTGATTTTGAGGTAGAGATTTTGAGGTCAGCATTATGGAAACCCACCAACCCTCAATCAGATTTTACACAAGTTATATGGAGACTGTCACTGTATTACCACAAGCTTACACATCTCATTTCCTTTTCTGTCTAGTCCTCCATTTAATAACCTGAAAATCTATCTTTTTATTGAGTTTCATGCTATTTTCTTACTTACATACAATCGCGTTCCTCTTACCAATTGCCTAGTGTCATGGCACATTAGTTAGGTGAATTTGTTGATATTTCAAAATTACTCTTTCTGTATTTTTTATTCTATCAACCAGTTTAAACAAGTGGTTGGGAGCACTCCTGTGATGAAAGAAAAAAGGCTATTTTTTTTTTAAGAATAAATTGCTTCCAATGGGAAGGGTAGAGCTCAAGTGGTAAAGCGCATGGTTAGCATGCATGAGGTCCTGGGTTCAATCCCCAGCACTTCCTTGAAGAATAAATAAATAAAAAGAATAAATTGCTTCCATGGTACATTAGTTGGTGTTATTCTAGTTTCTAGCGATGGGAGCACACAGCACATTCTGGCCCCACCCACATCTAATTTACTTAAGTTACTCCCCAACACTTGTATCCCTGCAGGGAACACAGGTGCTACTGAGGGCAGAAGAGAGACAAGAAAGGACGGGGTGCTCAAAGGAAGACGAGGCACGGTCTGCCCCGTGGAGCCTCAGGACAATTCTGTTCCTCAGATATTTCCCCTGTAACCATGGTGCAGGCTCGGAGCAAGGCCCCAGGGATACAGAGGTGGACTCTGTATCCAGAGTCTTGCCTTTTTTTGGTGGTGATTGGGGTGGGGGAGGTGTGTGCAAACTCAATGCCCAGCTCATTCCTGTTTCTCCTTCATGGATGACAGACATTTTAACAGTGCATTCTGCATTTCCTCTGGGAATTTGTTGGATTTGTATATGTATATGAATGCATCTATCCATCCATTTGGAATGTGCCTTTGAACACAGTTTTAGGTACATATATATACATACAAATGTGTTTCTATATGTACATATAAGCACATTTATGATAAGTAATGTGGATGCTGGGATACAAGTGTGAGGATGGGAGTCAAGCAGGTCTTGATCAAAGATGTGTCTACATCCCAGGAAAGAGTCTCCTGCCTTGATGTGCTCCCAGTGTAATTGATGGATTGCTGATTTCTACCCCACGTAGCTGGTGCTGCGGGAACAGGGTTCCTGGAGCCCAGATGAGGGGCCCTCAAGCAGCCTAAATGTCCTTCGATGGACGAATGAATGATTAAAGAAAATGTGTTTTATATATATATAAAATGGAATATTATTCAGCCATAAAAAGGAATGAAATCTTGCCATTTGCACAACGTGGATGGACCTCCAGGGCATTATGCTAAGTGAAGTAAGTCAGACAGAGAAAGACCAATACTGTGTGATCTCACTTATATGTGAACAGCAGCAACCCAGGCTCATAGATACAGAGAACAGACTGGTGGTGGCCAGCGGTGGGGGGTGAGAGATGGGCCAGATGGACGAAGAGGGTCAAAAGGCATAAACTTCCAGGAATAAAATAAATGTAATGGAGATGTCATGTACCGCATGGGGACTATAGTTAATAATACCGTATTGTTGCTAAAAGAGTAGATCTTAACAGTTCTCATCAAAAGAGGAAAATTTTCTAACTATGTATGGTGACAAATGTTAATTAGGCTTATCGTAGTGATTGTGTCTTGATATATACAAATACCGAATCATCCTTGTAAAAAAATACAAAAATACAAATACGAAAATAAAAAGAGCCAGCGGGCACAAGAGGGGTAGCAGGGTGATGGGTGAACTGTGGGAACACTGGGGAGCAGGCTAGCTCACTAGGGGAAGAGAGGATGTGAGGGAAGTTTCAGGAAGTAATTGATAGGCGCTCAATCCTGAATAAGCAGCAGATCAACTGAGCAGACAGGAGAAGAGATGCCCTTAAAACTGACTTGTGGTTACCGGAGGGGAGGAGGGTGGGAAGGGATAGACTGGGAGTTCGAAATTTGTAGGTACTGACAGGTATATATATAGAATAGATAAACAAGTTAATGCTGTATAGCACAGGGAAATATATACAAAATCTTATGGTAGCTCATGGTGAAAAAGAATGTGACAATGAATATATGTATGTTCATGTATGACTGAAAAATTGTGCTCTACACTGGAAATTGACACAACATTGTAAACTGACTATAACTCAATAAAAAAACAAACAAAAAAAGAACTGAAGAACGAGTAAGTACAAAATTACGGGAACATCAGAATGCCTGGTGTTTTCTGAACGGCCAGAGCAGGAGAGGGGGCTAGGAAAATTCTGAGTTGAGTGCTGGAGGCAGAGAAAGAAGGTGGGAAAGTAGAAATCAGCAAGCACACGTGTGATTGGCACGCACGTGTTCATCCAGAATAGAGCACCTCCTGAGAGATGCCCCTCTGAGCTGTCGCTATGAAAGCACCTAAATATGCATATCTTTTGCAATATAATGGAGACAGCCTTAGCAGCTCTGCAGCTTGGGAAGCAACACTAATTGATAGTCATTAAATCATAAAATACTTTCATTTATTTTATATCAAGGGAAATCTAAACTGCTGACTGACCCCCAAAAAACTGAATTTTGCATAATAAAAACAGACCCATCGTCCTTTAAAATACAAAATGTTCTTTGTTACAAAAAATGACAGAGATGGACTATAAGTAATACATTGTACCCAGGTATCCAACCATCATATCCATGGCTGGGTGCCCTTGTGAAGATTAAGCTGGGATTTTATAAATTATAATTTTATAAACTAATTATAAGGGTTGTATTAATTTATGATTAAGCTGTAATTTTATAAATTAATTATAAAGGTTGTATTAGTTTATTGATAAGATTTCAGGTCGCCAAGAGTCAGCCCAGGGAAGATGGAAGTCTTTTATTTACTTTAGGGCTGTTTTACTCCTGAATATATTTTCTGGAGATACTAATTTTAGCACTGAAACTCAAGAAATTTTTTATAAGTCCAAACTAGTTCAACCTATCACTTATAAAAACAAATATTTGCTTCCTCTTTCTTCCATCCTGATCACCACATTGGTTATTAAAATATGTTGTAACAAATGTTACATGTGCTATCTTGGTTTTATCCACCCATGGGCAGTGCCTTGTCTAAGCTATTACAGAATTTTATTATTATGCATAATGGCCTTCTTGCTTCATAAAATTTATTCACGGAACAGATGTTGTAGAAGAAACTTAGTCAAAGATATGCTATTATTCCCACAAAACAATACTGCATTTGGGTCATGCATGATTTTTTTTTTTTTCCCAAGGAGCAGCAGAAATCAACTGATTTGTTGCTGATGTGTAACTGAACCTTTCAGACAACTTCTACTTTCTTTCTTTCTTTCTTTTTTTTTTTTTTGCTGTTATTCCATTTGTCTTTATTTATTTATTTATTAAATATTTCTTTATTGAGTTATAATCATTTTACAATGTTGTGTCAAATCCCAGTGTAGAGCACCATTTTTCAGTTATACCTGAACTTGAATTTACAATAAAATCAATTTTACCATGTAGCCTACAGGGAAAAGAAGACGCATCTCTGGTCATGTCACACCCATTGCTAAGTGATGCTCTTAGTCGCCTGCGGTGGTTCCTTTCTTGTCAAGAGCCCAGGGGTGCAGAGTGTAGTTACCACACCCACATCAGATGTGCTGGAGCCTCAGTGCCCAGAAAACAACTTTGCCATTAGGAAACACAAGTGGTCTGAATTATTAGAGAAAATATGACGCTGCAGAAAGAGAAAAGATAAGCACACAAAACGGAGGGGAAAAAAAAACAAAAACACGACCAGAATGCTCAGAGGTAAATAAAATCCTTCTGTGCTCACAAAATATATTGGTTATAGGTTGTTCTAAAAACATTAAGCTAACAGTTGAACCACTACCTGTAGGAGCCCTGAGCCAAGAAAATATAAAAAGTTGTAGAGAGCGTTTGGGAAGTTTCCATTAATAAAACTGAACATAGGTTAAAAACATAAAGCTTAATCTCACCAAGAGCAAAAGCAAAGCTGTGTCGGAATTTTCTGCACTTAGGGAGAAAAGGGCAAGACATCGCTGACTGAAGAAAGCAGTTCTACACCAATCAGCACAGAGAAAGGTATGTTTAAAATCTTCTTGCCAATACTGGTAACTACTGAGAAGAGGCTGGCTGTGCATTTATAGGTAACAAGTGATGGAGGAGGGGATGAGAAATTGCTGGGGGTCAGGGCACCGGGGGTTCTCTTCCTGAGTCAGCAGCTGGTTAGGCGTGGTGTTTCGCCCTACCCCGCTCCACTTCCTTGTATGTAAAATGAGAAGGTTGAACTAGATCAGTGGTTCTCAAAATGCGGTCCCCGATGGGCTGTTAAGCCCCTGTAGTTTTAGGGACGCGTGTTCCAGAGTCAGCCTCCCCTGATGAATGCCCCTGATAAACACTGAGACCCTCCAATCCATCATCCCTTGCGCTGCTCCAAGGCCTGGAGAAATCACGATTTCCTCCCTTCCCTGATAGCCCTGCGGGCTTCGGGTGGCAGGCCAGCTCCAGGAACGTTCAGGGTTTCTGGATGGGCTGGAAGAAAGGGCTTTCTACCACATGTTGGTTCTCTCTCTGGGACTAGCCACCTCGGCTACACCTGGGAACTGTTAAAAATGCAGATCACTCAGCCTTCAGTGGGACCTGCTGCATCAGGGGTTGTGGGGTGGGAGCAGTAATCTGGGTTTCAATAGCTCATCCGGTGATGCTGACATACACAAATGCCTGAGAACCCCAAACTGGACAGTCTGTACAGTGCCTTCAAACAGTAAAACCCCACAATGATGCTAAAATGGTGGGAGAAAACTGGAAACAGTGCTGTAATTTTTCGAGCTCTCTTCCTGTTAAGTTACAAAATAAGTATGTTAAATAAAAGTGTATTCTATAACTGTTTATACTTCTTGTCTGGTATATCATTTAAAAAAAAATAAGGGCACATTTTAAAATTCCTGGTGTTTCTCCACTGCAGTACATGAGGGCAAAAATAAAGCAAAATGACCAAGTGTAAAAAAAAAAAAAGGAAGAAAAGAAAATATATAGCTTTAGGGGTGATTATATAATCATTTTATAGAAAACATCACTTAAATAAAATAAATGTATAAATAGAAAATGAAAAAAAAAACCTATTAAATAAACAAGTTTACTTTTCCAAAACTTTGGTTTCAGTAACTTTGGACAAAATTGACCAAGATAGTCACATGGCTTTTTAAGAAAAAAAGCCATCAAGTAACAAGGGAAAATGTAATTTCTAAGAATTGATCAAAATACATTGGAAGTTCGTAATATCTTTAGAACAACATATTTTTAGCTTGTAGCCCTACATGCTAGTAAGCAATGATATTTTGGTAGAACACTTGAAAATTAGAGTAATTCCAAAAATGTGTTTAGTGGAACCCTGGTCCTGGATTTGCTCTGGAATCCAATGTTTGGGAAACTGCGTGAAGCATCTACCCCTTGGTGATCTTCATTTGAGAACCCATTCAGCCTGATTAACTCCGTATTTCCCCGTAAGACTTGATCATAGTGTCCCCTTCGTCTGTGATCCCACTAACACCCCTAGAACTTGCATTCTATGTCACGCACTCTGAGAAAAGTCGGAAGATGTATTACTTTGTTATTCACAGATTTAACCAACAAGCTAATGGAATACACTTATACTCCACTTCGGCTATTCTCATCAACTACTTTTTGGGGGTGGGTAATAGGTTTATTTGTTTATTTATTTTTAATGGCGGTAGTGGGGATTGAACCCAGGACCTTGCCTGTGCTAAGTATGCACTCTACCACTGAGCTCTACGCTGTCGCTTTTCATCAACTAGTTTTAAAAGAAGTGAAACAGGGCAGGACCCTACGGGGCCTTCCCAAGACAGTCCCCCACCCTCCATGTCCTCTGCCTGCCTCTTGTCCGTAGAAAAGCTTTAGTTAAAGAACAGGTTTAATCAGAGAAATAAGAAAATACAGAAACAAAGGGAAATAGTCAAGAAAAACAAAATAATAGTAATAATAGTTTAGTAGTTAAGCAAAGTCAAGGACCTCTAGTTCCTCCTAAGGGCGATAGGTAATATTCTGAGCCACGCTCTCTGAGCTGCCTTATAGATCCTGAAATCTCCACCAAGTGGAAGACGCTAATTACGTGATGACCAGACTGTAGCCATGA